TACAGGCCATAAAGGCCTCACCTTGGACCAGACCCGACGGGTAGGCCCAAACGACATTACCGTTTGGGCCTGGCGGCGCTCTTGAGGCTGCCGCCCGCCGGTTGGGGYTGAACCGTCCATCTGGACGGTTCAGGGCACGGCCAGGCCTCGCAGCATTGAGGCCGGCCTCTGCCCCACCAGTATATAGAACCGGTCCGGCCTCACTTCGGGGATCGACCCACCGGTATACGATACGGTGCGGTAAGGTCGGCACCAGAGTGCCATTGGAGCGCTATGTTTAGCGCAGGAGCGAGGAGCAGGCAGCGTAGCGGTAGCGCATCAGCAGTGGCGACTGGGTTACCGGCGGCCATAGCCGCCTGAGGTACCGGGAGTGGGATGCTTCTCTCCTCCCTCCCATCGCCAGTCCCCTCTCTCTCCCTCTCCTCCTCGGCTCCCTCCTCCTCCTCCTTCTTCTTCTCCTTCTTCTTCTTCTTCTTCTTCTTCTTCTTCTTCAGATTGGACAGAGATCAGAGTTGGACTTCGGTGGTATGAGACTGTGGTCTTACCAGATTGGAGACTTGGAGATCGTTGGGGTTGATACTTGGCGACATCACAGTTCAGACACCAGTTACATTTGGACTCTGTATTCCCGACATTGGTGACCTATGGTCCTCGACATTTGATCTTGTTGGATGACATTTTGGACTACCATATCGGTGACCTATCAGATTCTATCTCGGTGACTTTCGGTGCTGTCTACCTTCCCCCCACCTCTTCGTCTCTCCTCCCCCATTCATCTGTGTATGTGTGYACGGGGCTGAGCATCCTYTATGTATGGCTCAGACCCCACACCTCACGATTGTATGTGTGYGGAGTGATGCTATGTGAGTCAGTCTATGTGAGTCAGTCCGTTCATCAGACTTCCGTTGCATATGTGCTCATCCTACATTGGTTGATCCTTGGTTCTGCCCATACTCATTGGAGTATGTAACAGTTTTGGTATCGGAGCAGACCATATAACGGATCTGCTCACAAAGGTAAGACTGATTTAGGCTCAGAAAGGTAAGACTGATTTAGGAATTAGATTGTTCTTCAATCTTCCCAATCAGCGCTGTACTACTATGAAGTTCAAGTTGCAAATTTTTTTTCGGTAGTCTGGTTATTTTGGCATTTCCTGTTCAATTCAGTATTAGGACTTTTATTCGGATTTCTGTTGTACACCGGTATGCTGTTTAATTAGGATCCGAGAAATTGATACTAATCCAACATTCTGTTTGATTCGGATTTCTGATTCTACGCGTATTAGGGTTGAATCAGTATCATGTTTGAAATTCGGCTTTTCTGATTTCCATTCAGCATTCCGTTTTTCGGCATTCTGTTGTAAATCCTATATTTCGTTTTCTTTTGGGATTTCCGTTGTCTTTCAGTATTGGAATTAGGGTTACGAAAATCTTTGGGTTTTAGATCAACTTGGGGAAATTCGAACGTTTTGGGAACCGTAAATCCGGAAATTTCGCGGAAACGCGGAAAATTAGGGCTGCGACCGAAATTTTCGCGAATTTTTTTTTTCATTCCCCTTGTTTGAGAAATTCAGAAAACAGGTTTAGGCTTTTAAAAATCGGATTTTGACGGTGGAAATTCCCAAAAATTCGCGTTTTTGAAAATTCGAGCGTTTTTTCTTCTATTTTCCGAATTTTTTCTTAGCACACTAAGCCGTATCTGACCCTCAAACTGCAACTTCCGGGTAGTTCACTCATTAACGGTGAACTCCCGGACTCAAAGTGATCTCAAAGAGACCTAATCATAATACCTTTCAAATTCGTTTATAATTGCAATTMTTGTTTATTRATTATSYTTAYTGCAAATAATGATTATTTCATTAGGAGTATTTCGTTATTTRTCATTAATTAATTTTATTGATTAAATCGTTATTACGAATTTTTGAATGGTTTACGGGAAATTTATTTTTCTGTTTGATTAGGTGTCTACAGTCCATCAGTGGGACAGGGGACTGTATGCGTATTTTTTGATTGTTCTACCCCTGTTCCCACTCTCCCTACCCTCCCTGTATTCTGTGACCACTGGGACCTCTCAAGTACCGCGTCAGTCCACACTGATGTCGATGGAACAGGATACCGGGGCACTGCTACGGCGCAGTGCCAGGCTCGCAGTTCATGCTCGACCTACGGTACCTCCACGAACCAAGGCTCAGCAACAGAGACTCAGCAGGCGGACGACTCCAGCGGCATCGAGTACAACATTGACGGTACCGGACACCACTGGAGTTCTTCCCKCATGCCCGGTCCGAAGGGCCAGTGAGCCGTTGGCTGACTATTTTGGGCGGCTACAGGTATTTACAGATACCGTAGCTGCCGCCAAGGCTCAGCAGGAGGCAGCAGAGGCAGAACGTCAGCGGCTGGCCAATGAGGCGGCAGCCCAAGCTCAGCAGACTGTTGAGGCTGACGCAGCGGCACGAGACCAACGGAATGCCGCCAGTACGGAGTCCCTGATTCATAGTGAAAGTCAGTGGACAACGTTCCTCCAAGGCATTATCTTTGTGCCTTCGGACGCGCAGGCAGATCCGACACCGGCGGAGGCAGAGAGGACTCACCTGGCTAACTTGATGCTGGGCATAATGAGAGGCATCATGTGGAATAACACACTGCTGCACGCACATCTGCGCACGGAACGACAGCAGCGACAAAAGTACCAGCAAGACATTGCTGTTTTAACAACTGCCATCCGCGCCGAAGCAACGCAGCAGCAGCAACAGCATCAGCTGTTGAACTCCGCTCTCGCACGCATCAACAGCGTTGAGGCTAACGCCTCAGCAGCGCCAGGCTGCACGACAGACGCGACGAAGCAACTCAATGAGCGCATCGATCACGTCGTCACCATCATCGGCGACATAGGTGTTTTCAATGGGCGGGACACGATCAGTAGCACGGTGGCCGCCATCAAGACGGACATCACCAAGCTGCAGACGAGACCGGACGCCGCTACAAAGACTTACACGATGCCGCACTTCGACATCAGCAAGTTCGACGACTACAACAAGTCGGACGCCTTGACATGGTGGCAACGTTTCCTCACGGAAGCATCATGCCGCACTGTCCCGGCAGACGACATGATGAAGGCACTCTACTWKCAACTAATTGGAGGAGCGCAGGCTTGGATGAACCATCTGGCGGCTACCAACAAATGCACCATCGCCGACCTCCACACGCACATCACGTGGAATGAGTTCGAGAAGCTATGGTTCACCCGGTTCATGGTCCGCAACGTCGTGAAGGCGGCCATGAACGAGGTGTACACCTGCTCTCAAGGAAATATGCCAACTCGAGACTGGACAACCAAGTGGCAGAAGATAGTGACCACACCAGGGTTCGATTTGAGTTTTCCAAATCAACGATCCGAGTTCTTCTCGCGATCGTGCGTGGGACTGCGGTCGGCACTCGACAACGAGTACGACTATGACACGTTCCAGGCCATTCTGGATCGTGCGAACTTAGTCATCCAAACGGATGACAAGGCCGCAAACGAACGGTAGTCCCAGCCGCATTATGTGGCTAAGCAGGGCTATCAACGTCAGGCACATAACAATGCCGTGATTTCTGAAGAAACAGACGACCTCCACGCTGCAGCAGCATCCTCGAGTGGAGGAATTGTTGCAGCGCTCCCGCCGAAGCGTCCCAAGAGAGTTCGGAAGAACAAGGCGACACAAGAGACAACATCGACGGGAGCTGGGCAGCAGCCATGGACGACTTACAAGATAACCAAGGATGTCTATGACCTTCGTCAAAAGTACGGATACTGCCTCTGGTGCAACGGCGTCACTCATGTGACCGCACAATGCCCAGAAAAGGGCAAGGCACGCGTACCCCGTCCAGCMAACTCGGGAAACTGAGTTACGCAAGGAGAGGGGCRACGTCTYTCYTCACTCCGCCGGACCCGGTTGCCTTGCTAGCAATCGATGTCACTACCGGGGAGCATGCGTTAGTCGCTGATTCTCGTGCCACGTACGAGCATTATGCCGCCCAGCTGGTACCACCATTAGACCAGCCAAGCCAC